TAGCTACAAAGGGGGAACATCTCCATATCAATGCCCCTGGTTTTTAGCATAGAGTCCAACAAGCTTATATAGTGTGTTAGTCAGGTGCCCATAAACATTTGGCAATAGAGTGTACATTGAAACTACATGCAGGTTCAAGCCCAGTATGTGTGCAGTGCCCCAGAATCCTGCCCTAACATATACGCAAAATGAAATTTAAAAAAAATGAGCATTTTATCAAATGTAACAGCTGAAAATAAAAGGTTAAGTATCATATTTTGTCTCCGCTTAACTCTATTTGTGATGATAGTCGCAAACAATTGGAGCAGTAATAGTGAAGAGAAAACCGTTGGAATGGTTTTAGAATAGAGATATACACTTGTACGTTTCCCATTTTGAATTGAACTATTCAAGCCTGCAGCAAAATTCCGCCAACCCAAAAGTGTGAGAATTCTCAGGATGCTTATTTAAGGGGAAAAAAATTAAATCTGTAAGAACTGTCTTTAATCTTCCCGAGGCCAATCTTCCCGAGGAAAATAGCGCTCTTTCCCTTTCCCATCAACACACAAAAGACTGTTTTCCTCTATAATATTCATCAATGTTTTGCTGTACAAGTTACAAATGTTCTTCATTATTCCTTTTTAGGTTGAATTATTATATTCATACTAATTGTTATTAAAAAGAATAATGAATGACATTGGAGACCTGGAGTACTTAAAAGCTGAACTCCTGGAAGATATAAAACATGCTAAACCAGTGTAATCTGGTTATGTATTAATTTAAAAATCATTGTATTTTACTTACATATGGGAAAAGTGTCCGAATTTGACTTGATTTATATATAAAGACAAAACTTTTTTTCAAAAATTGTAAATGAATTAGGGAATGTTTAAAATCTCCATGCATATTTTTTTTGCCATCTGAAGAAATGTAAAAACAAAATGTAACTCCACTTTAAAAAATAAAAAATAAATGGATATACCATAAATAATTGCTGCACAAGCCATTTTGTAATTTAGAGCAGAATTCCAGGATGTGCAAAATTAACCCTTGCAATGGGGCTACCCTCGCACTACAAGGGTTAACTTCTCATTTTGGTCTAGGGGACAAAATAAAGAAAATATAGATAATTGGATCCTTGGTCCTGTGGCAGTCAGCACTCCCATCTCTCTCTCTCTGCTCCGAGTGTGGTAAAATGCATCCCTCTTTCCCACCCCAGCATGCCCAACATGAGAGGTATACAATCTGATATTGCTCAAGCAAAGGGAACAGCAGAGACCTGCAAATTTAACTCAGCCGAGAATGCAGTGTGAACTGTATGGGCAAGGGAGTCAGAGCCGATGGTGGATTATCAGGCAGAGGAGCATTAGCAACTGGGACAGCCAGTGGAGGCTGTCCAAAGACATAAGATTGTTACCCGTCCGAAAGTTGACCAATCAGGCAGCTCATGTCTATTGGTAACCTGTCTGTTCTCCTTCTTGTTGCAAGTCTACCCATCAGCACTAATGAGCTGAAAACAATGCAGTCTATCTCGGCAGTTGTTGACCAGGAGGGCTGAGTGAGCGCAGTAAAAAGGAACTAGAAAAAGAAACAACAAATCTATATACAGTAGGTCATAAATAAGAGCTATATTTTACAGCAAAAATTGTAATATGGTAATACTAAGTCAAACATTGCTTCAATGTCAATATTATAATAGTTACTTAAAACATGTACTTAATACAAAAATGCACTATCCTTTAAACTGAGTTCCTCATTCATAATATACTCTCTATTTCTATGCTCATGTCCCCCAGTAGCCATATATGTCTGTAAAACATAGATCAATGCACACTACAATGAAAGTTTAAAAAAAAGAGCGGCACAACTCAGACTGATAAATTTCAGAAAGAATAAGTTGTACTATAGCCTATCTCCTGCCATTCCCCATCCCCAGTCATGTAATGACTCCGCCAGATCACTACAGATGGAAATCTCGAGGAGCAATGCTCAGCCGTCTCTCTTCAGCAACAATCAGTAGAGAACCTTTGAATTATTTGTTGCCACAACTCCATTTCAGGCCTGATTCCTATATTAAACTCTGAAAGAAGATATTCGCCAATGACCCAGTTTATCATGAGCACGCATTGTGGTGCCATTTACTCCATGTGTATTCATAGCCTGCCCGGTATCTGCATCTCTCTACTAAGCCCGATACGGCGACTCTCGTAGGCTTTCATTTCTCATCAGCGTTCCTCATTGTACATTGATAGACGGGGAACGTGGCGGTATCCACTTCGGCAGATGCCGGGGAAAAAAAGCCTTGACGGTTACTCTGAGGAATTCTGTGTGGATAATATTTCATGAAAGCTGGAGATGCAAAATAAATAATCTGAAAATACACAGAGTTCAAACATAGTCTATGTCAGAAGCTCATTTTCTGCCTCTCTGGGGAGACAGTAGCAAGAGCTGTGTGCACTTCTTCCCTGGCTAAGCAATGCCCAAAAAGTGTAAGGAAGATGAGCAACAAATGATTTATTCAAATAATTTTAAATCTACAGTATTTTAAATCTACAGTATCTATCTATCTATCTATCTATCTATCTATCTATCTATCTATCTATCTATCTATCTATCTATCTATCTCTTTCTATCCATTGTGATGTTTGGGGATATTAGCACATATGGTGAGTGCTTTAAGGATGCAGTCCACTCGAAATTTCTTAATTTTAAGGGCTTGGTAGCCCACTTTTATTGAAATGAAAGTTCACACATCCACCTTGGATACCCTCACAGGGGTTGTTCAGTACAGCATCCATGCACTGCTTGCAACACAACATAAGTATATAAGTATATCCTCCTTTTAACATTAACACTTTTGACCCACTGGCCTTCTCTGTAGTACTGTTCTGCACTTGTACTGGCGGCCCCTCAGGCTCACAGCTCTCCTAGCCTCACTAGTTCTCCCCAGCCTTCCTGACTGTCTTTGTGTGCCTCCAGCACACACACCACCTGCCTCTACTTTGACTTTTGGGGGAGTCCTACTGACACCTGAACACGGTCTGTTCCTTCCCAGCAGGAGCTCACTTGACTCCTCTCTGACTTCTGGGGGAGTCCTCCTCACTCCTGAGCACCGTCTGTTCCTATCCCAGCAGGAGCTCATCTGACTTCTCTCTGAGTTCTGGGGGAGTCCTCCTGACTCCTGAACACCGTCTGTTCCTATTTTCCAGCAGGAGTTAATTCCTTTAGTCAGCACCTTTCCTTAAGGGCTGTGCACATCGGTGCAATCATCAGGTTCTGGTCATTGCTAAACCCTGAACCCAGGGTTCCTTTCCAAATCACTTTGAATCTTCCCTGTTCCAGGATCCCAATCCAGCTCTTTCCCAGAAAAAAACCTTGCTTCCTGACACCTCTCAGTCCCTCTGGCTGAGAGTCCTGGGTGAACATAACACCAAATTCCATGCTGGGATTGTCCCACAATACCACACCATGGACATAAAGATGTAATAGTGAAATGGCAAGAGAAACTCCAGACATGATATGAAAATGATATAATACCAGGTTATATGTGGTATAATCTTCTTTTGGACATCATGGTTACCTGTGTTGGATGTTGCAAATACATTGAAAACTGTGGGAAGTAATTTCTTTGAATTAAAGGAAATAGATGGGACAGGATTTAAAAGTAAATGGACTTGCTTAACTACCTCCCGGCCAGCCGCTGTGTATACACGGCGTGCCGGGAGCTTCTTTGATGTAACTGGGCGTGCATACACGTCCTGTTACATCCGCCCGGCGCGCGCGAGCGGGAAATCCCCGCTATATTGAAGTGTATCCAAAGCCAAGAGTTTTTTTTAAAGTTTTGAATAGACTGCTGATAGGGTTAGCACTCTTATTAGGTTTTACATAAGAATTTTTAAAAAAGCATACAGTTTTTGTGGGGCTACCCCTTCACTGCTTGTTAAGGTTTAAGTGCTTGTTTTGTCTAGGGGCTAGACTGGTCCTCGCATTTACTTGCATTAGAGGTGATGAAGCTGAGGGACTTTCCTCAGGGGAAGAGAGGTGAGTGAGATGATGTGCAATGGCAGCCAACCAGTGTCACAGCCTCACACAGAAGTACAGGTAGCAAGCCTGGACCTGCACAGAACCCGCACTAGTTGACAGGTAAATATTCCCGCACTCCAAAAGGTATTAGCTGAAAAGCCGGCATCCCTGCGAATCAATATTGTGTTGGCCAAACAGCCGTCTCGATGCTGATTGGCTTGGAAGTCGGCTCCCCGGCCAAATATCAGCCAGATAATGGGTAATGAAATGCCGCCCGGCTTTCTGATTGCCCTGGAAGCTGGCTCCATGCTAGCGGAAGTACCAGTTTCAGTACTTGGTATCGGTGAATACCGAAAAATAAATATCGGTACTCGTACCCGATACCGGAAAACCGGTATCAGTGCATCCCTAGATAACATTTATCAGATGCTACCTCCACTTTGGGCTGATACATTTTCACATGTCTATCTGAACAAACAGTTAAAGAAATGTATAGTATCTCTTTAAATCTTGTGTGCATTGTAAGGCATAGATGGTAATTCCTTATGGCTCTGTCGCAGATGTTACCTGTAATTACACATTTTGTAGTGGCGTCATGGAGTGAAAGCACGAGGATGTAAAAAAAAAAGAGCGTTTCCGAAGGCAAATATCCATCATGTGTTTACTGTTTGCTCAGCTTGCATCTAAAAGCTACCTTTTAAACGTAATGTACCATAAAAGTAAGTTTATCTGCATGAAGAATAAAATTGTCGCTATAGGTAAGGAAACATTTTAGTATTATTTTAACCCTGTTAGCCTTGTGGTAATGCTGAAATAAGATTTTGGTAGGAAGGTAGTTCAGAAGTAAAACATTAAATTAAATGGTCCATGTTAACATTGCTGTTGATCCCGAGGAGAAGTTTTTTTTTCCAGTATATGGAGCATTTCAGCTTTACCCAGCATATGTTCCCCATAGTTTTATCTGCTCTAATTCACCACGTTCCTTTTTTCCCCAACAGCTCCAGATGGCGTACTGCCTCCAAGGCTTTCATCTGCCAATCCGACCAGTCTTCAGGTTGTGTGGCCTACACCAGTTCGTAATAACGCTCCTGGCTTGCCTAGCTATCGGCTCCAGATGAGATCCACAAATCCCACCAACAAAATCACAGAGTAAGCAAAATCACAACTGCTATTCTAGATCGATTTGGTAAATAAGAAAAGTCAGCTTTTGAAAATATTGAGGATATCCTTGGATGTGAAACAAAGGAATTGAAATGCAGAAAAATATAGAAAATGAATAACTGTGTTGAACAAATTTTATGTAAAATTCAGATGTTATTTTGAAAATTATATTGTTCTTTATTGATCGATTTTTGATTTTTTGGTATTATTATAAAACATCAGATTTCAGAAAATGTAGATAAGGAACAAAATTAAACAAGATTCCAATGAATAATTGTGTTCTATGGTTTGTACATTTTTTTGGTATGTAAAATTGCTACTTATGCAAATATAAGGGATGATCTTGGGATATTTAAATAATGAATAAAGATGTAGAACATCTTGAAAATGAATAATTACATTAGAAATATGTCATGTAAAAGTAATATTTGTGTGAATGTGATTTTGAAAATAATATTGTCCACTCAGTTACATAAAGTCAGCTTTGCAAACATTAAAGTGACACTAAAATCAGGAGTTAAATCTTAAAAATGCATTCAAGTGCTCTAACTATTAACATGAATGTATCTTATTAGTGTATCACTCGGCTGCAGGTCCTCAAATTATCTCTGAATTGGTGCTGACACTGTCCTTCCTTCTGGAGGGTGGCTACTTTTGCTTCCCATGGCCCCTGTGTGTGTTGTATAGCAGTCACCGCTCCAAGCTCACTCCTGTGATGGACTAAAATCTCAATACAATTTTAGTAAACTAAAATGAGATCGAAATCCATCACGGGAGTGATCTTGGAGTGGTGACTACTTCACAACACACACAGGGATTATGGGAAAGAAAAGTAGTCATCCTCCAGAAGGAAGGACAGTGTCGGCACCAATTCAGAGATGATTTGAGGCTCTACAGCCGAGTAATACACAGATAAGGTACATTTTTTAAAATAGTTAAGGTACTTCAATACGTTTTTAAGATTTAACCCCTGAGTTTAGAGTCACTTTAAGGAAATTCATGGGACATGCATAAAATATAGAAATGATATGTACAATTTATATGTGATTTTGAAAATTATTTTGTCTATTCCAGTAATTTTTTTATTACATAAAAATGAACTAGGAGCATTTGGTTCCAGTAAATATTTTTAATTTAATAATCAAAGAACACTGTAGAAAATGGAGATGTAGTGTGATGACATTTTAAAAACTGTTTATTATTGTGAAATCTTACTAAAAAGATGACAAGGAAGTATTACTTAATTTATAAAGAAAGCTATTTTTTTTCCAAATAACACTTTTTAATAGGTTTTAGAAAGAAAGACTTCTAGGAAAACATTTTTTTTTTAAACACTGAGGGGGATTTATCAATACTGGAGCAGACAAAATCTGGAGCAGTTGTCCATGACCAATCAGCTTCGGTCTTTCATTTTGAAAGCTTAATAAACTGAAAAGAGAAGCTGATTGGTTGCCATAGGCAATATTATAGATAATAATAACAATATTATAGGTAATATTATAGAAAAAAAAACCTAGAATTAGGACATTTGTATTGCAGTATGTCCACATATTGTTTTCAGAATATTAATTAATTATTTAGTCTATTTATTCATATATACAGCAATTAATTTTAAAAAAGCTCGGATTTTAAGCCATATGTGATAAAACTGATTGAATTTCCAGGATCAAATCCAAACTTATGGATGGATTTTCTCTGGCTCATAAAAATGAATGTGTGCAGATCATCAGTTTAATAATCCGTAACAATTTTGCGCACATGAAGTACATTTTAAAGATTCCTGTAATATTAAAAGAAAAAGAGACCTGATGTATTTTTGTAAAAAAATACTGATATCATTTTTAACAAACATTAAAGGTTGCTTAAGAATATTTAACTTGATTACATCATGATATTTACCATAAATCTAACCTGTTTTCTGCTTGTCGTTGTAGTCTATTTTCAGGCCCTAGTGCTTCCTTAACCTACACCATTAAGGATCTTCAGCCGTATACAGCATATGAATTAAGGATTGTTGCCTTCAATGTGTATGGTGAAACTTACAGCAGATGGGTCAATATGTCAACAGAACAAGACAGTAAGTACATATTCTATACCATCTGTCATGGTAGCAGGGTAATTATTGTCTATGTTTTTAATAATAAAGAATAAATCCAGGAGGAATATAGGCATTCCAAGAAAATACTGGCTAATACAAAATGATAACATTGGCACACACACACACACACACACACACACACATATATATATATATATATATATACAGGACAGCGCTGACTGGCGGAATGGATGGGGGAGGGGGCAGGTACAGCTGGCTCTGCCTCTGGATAGGCAGAGCCAGCTGTCACTCACGCAGCTGGGCGGATCCAGACATAATTCTCAGGATCCGCTTCAGCGGTGGCGTCTCAGTATACTTCAGCTGCTTCAGCTGCAGCTCGCGGTATACTGAGCTTAGGGTGACGGGAGGACGCTAGTTTGTGTCCTGCCGTTACCCTAAGGAGAACTATGGGGAAAAGCCCTAACCCTATAGTTCTCCTTTAATCACTGATAACACTAAACTGATGAACAGAAAAAGCGTTTTAATCGTCGCCTATGGGCGTTTTTTGCGATTTTTGGCGTTTTTACGCAATTTTAAGGCTTGACATGTTTGGTGTCTATTTACCCGACCGATCTTCTGCCCCATGTGCTCCAAGATGGAGACTCTCATAGTTTAAATATATATATAGATTATTATTATTTATTTTTTCCCCACTTTTTTGTTTTTGTGTTGGGAACTGGCATTATAACAGTTTGCATTACATAAACTTTCTGAATTAACTTTGCAGCTACCGGATCAGCACAGAACAGTTTATTCCAATTTAAATTGACTCTGTGCAGGTACCTAGAGGATCAGGCAACCATCATCACACATCCTAGTAGTCAGGACCACCCCTACCTGAGCCAGCCGGGAGAAGGGAAGAGCAATGGGTTAATGTGGTCTGGAACCATCCGAGCTATCAACCATGCAGAACATGGAGGAGGGGGCTTTGGGGCCAAGCTATCTGCTGGGGGGTGCTGTTAGATGCCCATGCTGCTGCCCCCCCCCTACACACACTCCTGCTTCCCACCCCCATGAGATGTCACTTGAGGCTACCACTTCAGGCTGCCTCATTATGCCCCTGCTATAGCTTGCCCATACCCTCCCAACTCTCTATTAATGTGATGGGGTAGTGTGGAGTGGGCAAGTTCTGACACTACCCTTATGTCTTGGAGCTTTGTCCAATCAGAACTCCCTGGCATTTGGGCAGAGAGCTGGTACGGAAAGCCCTTTAGCTGCCTGTTTTTACTACATATCAGCAACATTTTTCTTAAAAGTGACGTTTATCACAAACTTAAAAGAAAATGCAGGTAACAGCAAGTATATTCAAGGCTTATTTGCAGTGGTTTTCCTTTCCATTAAGTATTTTTTTAATTTAATTGCAATGTTCCTTTCAACTTGCTATAAATATTGAGTACTACAGGAGAGTTATATCCCTAGCACAGCCACCTCTCTCCTTGTACCCCTTTGTGCTGACCTTCCGTACCTCACCTCTTTACATAAACATGTAGCTGTCGGGGAAAGAGCAAAGGGAAAATGCCTTGAATCTGTTGTGGCTGTTGACATCACATCCAAGGCCTCATGCACACACAACACAAGAGCAAAATGGTATATATGCTATCCCAGAACGCATTATTCTTGATAGAAATTTTAATGTACTGTACGCGCATATGAGCATATACACGCGTACACGTGCGTAACATACACAGAAATACGGAGCCTGGACTTATCTGGGAGTCTATTTTTTTCTCTGCATCTTTACACAGCGCAAATATACAGCTCCATACACAACTACAGAAAATACGCTGTGTGCATCTATATGCAGCGTATTGTATGGCAGTGTGAATTAGGCCTAAGAAGGCAGATCAAAGCAGCTTCCCACATGTGAAGATCTTACCTCAACTGCTGTTCTGGTGGTAAAATTCTGATTCCATATCTGCCTCTATGACAGTGGTCACCATGATAAAGAGCGGGTGAATCTACCTAGTGAGGACTGAGGGTTCTAATACTTTCTAACTCTATCCAAAATTTTAAAAAGTAAAAAGTTTTGGCTGGAATAGTCAAGTCTAGGGTTAAAAGCTCTCTATGTGTTCACTCTGAGCATTTCTGTGTTAAAATATCTAATCTGTATCTCCTAAAAAAAAGACCAGAAGCTTAGATGTTCCCACACTGCAGTTCTCACTCAGTAAAGCCCATGTTCTGTAAAAACCTTTCCTTTCTTTTTGGCTGGAGTACGGAAGAGTTGGGACTGCTCTCAACTTCACCTTCATCCTCTCATTTCCTGTCCCAATAACAGGGTGTCAATGCTGTGCATTTTTTGGGAATGATTGTGGACTTATTTACTAAGGAAAATGAACAAGAGCTGATATATCTTGCTATAGTACACTCAGGATAGTATGAGTGGACTGGAGGCGCGCATTCATAATGAACGCAATCCCTGAACCTATCTAAAAATTTGTACACTGGTGTTCGATGCATGTGGTTCAAGTTCGCAGTAAGGGTTGAACATCTAAGTAAATGTGTTTTTTTGTGCCTTCTGTTCCATTATGATGTGCTAAGAAATGCGTGTCAGAATTTTACCAGACAATGCTAAAAAAGTAAAAAGAAAACCTATACACTTAGAAAGAGTGAGAAACTGACTGTATTTTAAGCAGCCAGCAATGCTTGTTTGCATAGAAGAGTTCAGGTTGCTATAGAGCCGCCCAATCGCTTGTATGCTGTCTTCAAAGGTGCACCCCCTCTTTTGCTGCTGCCAATCCTGGGCTTCGCTGTGCCCCACAATGGCGTCTCCGTCACCGGAGTTTGGAGGGAGATCAGCACAAGATCTACCTCCAGTGTTGGGAATTTGTCAGTGAGGTGTATTACATCACTTCTGCATTCAACTTTCGTTCTCCAGCTACAGAAGCCGGAGAGAAGCTGGTGAAGCATGTCTCTGCTTCATCAGCTTATTTGAGGGTCTCTAGGTAGCGTTAGGGGTCTTAAAGACCCCCGATGTCTCCATAAAGTCACTATAAAATGGTTATCACATGGGGGATTCTTAGCCCACTATGTGATAGCAATAAAATTAAGTGAAAAAAATGTTTAAAAAAAATTAAAGGTACATAAAAATATTAAAGTCACATATACCGTATTTTGCGCACCATAAGGCGCACCGGACCATAGGACGCAGGAAGATCCGGTGCGCCTAATGGAGCACTGAACAGACCGAAGCTGTGACAGAAGCTGTGACAGAAGCTGCAGTTAGTGACCGCTGAGACAGGTGGCACTGTGATTACAGCGCCACGGTCTCAGTGATCACACACAACAGACGAAGAACGTACGTGATCTCGATCGCCGCCGCTGCTCGCTTTTAATACGAGTGATCTGATTAGGCCACTTGTATTAAACGAGCAGCGGCTCCTACTGTACATTTAGCTCTGCAGAAACTGTATGTCTCGGGTGTCAGGCGATAGGGATTCGCTCCATAAAACGCAGGCACATTTCCCCCCGCCTTTTGGGGGGGGGGGGAAGTGCGTCTTATGGAGCAAAAAATACAGTATATAAAACTTAAAAATACACAATCATGTTTAAAGTTCCCTGCCCCCACATACACGCGCAAACATGCATCGGGTGCGCCTACGTGCAGCAATCATTTTAGGGCCATTCATCACTGTCAACACTAAACTGAAGAGTGGTAAATGCTTTTAGTGTCACCAATGGGCAATTTTGGGTAATGTAGATTTTGCGATTACGCAGGCACGCGTAATGTTAAAGCTTAGCGTGCTTGGTATCTATTTACCCGACATGACCACGTCTTTTATATTTTACAAAAAATTTGGGTAATAATACATGTTTCATAACATAATGTAGGGAAAACTGTTTGTTTTTTTTCAACATTTTAGGTCCTTTTTTCATTATATAGTAAAAATTTAAAATTCCAGTGGTGATTAAATACCACCAAAAGACAGCTCTACATGTCCCTAGAAAATGGTATAAAATTAATTTCAGTACGTTGCATGGGGGAATAAATGTAAGTCAAAGTATCGCAGTGCTGAATACTGAAAAATGGCCTAGACAGGAAAGGGGGTTTAACACCCCGGACTTTAATTGGTTATAGGTTTATTTGTAATAATGATAATAGTAAATTGTATACATAGTAAAATAAATAGTTAAAATAAATATAAAATAAAAATCTCTTTAATAAAATGTAAAAAGAACGGTCAGCTGCTAATTCAGCTGAAGTTCGTTGTGAATATCCACAAGGTGTGAACTGGAGACATTGGAGTTGGATGTCCATTCTGGAAAGGGTTACATGATGTAACTATTGTGAAGCTTACATTGTCTGCACAGATCTGTTTTTTTAAGGCTTTTCAATAAACATACTGTATGTCAACTGCATCATTTTTTTGAAGTTTTACTCAGTTTTATCGCAAATAAAGTTTAACTTTCAAGTTCTCATTCAGAAGGTATTTTATAGGCAATTTCTACATGCTCTAGGGAAAAACATAGAGTAAGACGATTAGATATGAACTGTAAAACAGGTGTAAACAACAAGGGCACGAAAAGGGTGTATTTTATCTCTACCATACATACCAACATGGCCAACATTGCAGGCCTGGTATGAGTTCAGACTAATTGGTCAGATGTGAAGCAAGATCAGGGCATTGCAGAGCAGACTGTAACAATGGAGACATAAGCTTTGCTTTTGAAATACATGCCACTTTTGCTGAGTTATGACGGGTGAAACTTCAGCAGTCTGGGTGCCTTCTATTGATAAAACAAATTCCATACAGTATGTAAAGGCAGTGAAATCATTGAAATGCCAGTGATATTTAGCATGCACTGCAACTGAGCTAAAGACAGAAATTCCCCACTTTGCAGCTTAATATGAGTTATCTGCAAGACACTGCAGTCACGTTTTCTTTGATTTTTATCATGTAAATGGTGCATTTACCCTCTCAGCCAGCAGGTGGAGCTCTATGCACAATTTCACATGGATTTTTTAGGCTATTCTAAAATTT